CACACACTTTTGGCCATATAGTGTGTGTGGATGCCTGTTCACTCTGTCATTTCTTCCCTTCATATTCCTCTTCCTATTCTGGCTGTGTAATGGATCTGTAAAGGTTGGGGGGGGCTCTCGTATCTCAGCAATCTGAGCCATCAAACCATGAACATCCTGTTTCTTTCTTTCACCTCCTGCAACTCTCTCTCATACATCTCTTAAATGTTATTAAAGATGTCAGGAGGGAGGGAGGAAGGAGAGTGTTTCGAGAAGTATTCCGTATTTCTCCACCTTGATGAATAAAAGTGATGCTGAGCAGCTGATCTTTCCTGTGGGACAGCCCGTGGAGGGATGAGAGCGCTGCGTAATAGTGGCCCGTTTTACATCAGGTAGTGAGATTTGTACACGGGCATCAAGCTGCACAAACTGATCTTTAACAGCCTTAATCATTTACTCTGTTGGTGTTTCCAACTGTATTAACACACAATCTTTTTTGCCAGGTTCACCCACGTGGCAACTAGTAGTTATTTCGGCTTATTTACGGCTGAAAACCCACCAACATAAACGGATTTTCGCTCCAGATCTCATCACAACATCCGTAAAATCAAATCAGCTTTACTACTAACTCGCTCCACTAAAAGTATCGCCTCTGAAAAGCACAAAACACCACATAAATCTTCTGTTCCCATCAGTGTTATTTTACCCTGAGAGATAAATATCCTGGACATCACTGGCGCAGCACTTTCGGTGCAAAGAGGAAGTGACTTAACCACAATTTCTTCCGTGAATTCCGTAAAATAAAACAAAAATCACCCACCTTTATTTCCTGGTCGTGGTCCTGCAGCCCCGGTCAGTACCACCACAGACAGGCGCGGCTCCTCGATGACTGCCGGGAGCCAGCAGCTGCTGGTTCTGCTCGAAGCTCCAGCGTCCGTCCGCCCGCTCTCGGTGGGAGGAGACTGACGTGGCCGCCTGCGAGCGTCGGATGCGGGGCTGCGCAGGCCCCAGCGCCCCCCTCCTCACAACTACCCAGCCCTGCTACACCACACACAGGCGGCCGAGACTCTGCATTGTATGAGCCGTAATGGTGGACACGGTGTGCTGGTGACATTACAGCATGCAGCCTGTGTGTTTGTTTTACTTGAGTGTTTCCATTTTATTTTACTTTGTTCAGTTTATCTGATAGCTGCTGTGGATTAAATGTAATACCTTGTGATAGATTTAACAACCCAGCAGTGTAACACAGTGATAAAGCTATAATAATAATAATAATCCTATTATATGATAGCTCGGTGTTTAATAATAGACAACTTTATTTTGATAAAAGAGCCATTTTGCATAATTTTAAGACTTAAAGTGAATTTTACTTTATTTCTTATGCTTGAATAAGATTCTTAAAGGTCCAGTGTGTAACATTTATACTTTATATTTCTGGATAATTAAGTTTTCATTAGTGTATCACCTGAAAATAAGAATTTGTATGTTTTTGTTATCTTAGAATGAGCCGTGGGTTAAACCTCCATGTTTCTACAGTGGCTCAGGGAGGACAAACCAAACACTGGTTCTAGGGAATTGAGTGAGGATTTGTGCTAGGAAGGGGGATGGTGAAGCGAGGACGTTGCAATCTGCAATTACACTGTTAGATACCACTGAAAGCTCATACAGTGGTCCTTTAAAGCTGCTACAAGGAACCATTTCCTCTGATTTTCGAGGGGAATCCGACCAATAAACTGACCACTAAACCACTTAAAAAACTTGTTGAGTTTTTTAAATAGTTACATTTACATTTAAATAGTAACTTAACACCCCCTGAAAATCCGGTTTTTGCTGAACTCCAGCTGTCAGACTTCACACCTCGCGGCAGTGATGTACAGGTGTACTGCAGGACACTGTGACATCACTGGTCATGTATGTGAGCCACTTTCTTTACACAGCGGTGCAGGTGGCATGTGATGTGTAAGGAATCAGCTGATGATCAAACAGCAGCAGGTGGTTGAGATGCTGCCATAAACTTTAACATTTTTAGTGTTTGTAGGTGTTGGAAAAGATACTTGAATACCTTTTATATTTGGGTTCAGCCACAAGCTGTGTGAAAGCCACACAAACTGGTACAAACAGACACTACCAACCACCATCAACCAGACCCAGTGAGGCTGGATGTGCTCAGAGGGGAACAACCAGAGAGGGCAGTGAAAAGCCACGTTGGACTAAATCCAGACACCAATAAAAGCACACAATAATCACTGTATCCATATAATTTATGTTTTTTTTCTGAGTAATTTATTCTTTTGCCTCATTTTATTCATCAGTTGTTTATATTTATTTAATATAGAAGCATTGTATATTTATGTTTCTGCACACTAGCTGTCTGAATTATGAATTTAATGGACATTTTACACAATATTTTGCTCCATTTCTAAAAATTACTTGTGTTTTACTTACTTGTTTTTATTGCTGGTT